AACCTTCGATCAGACCTCTGACAGAGACCACGCACGCAAAGCAAAAGGTTAATGGTGTTGTCACAACCACCACCATCCCCCTTTTTAAATCATTATCCTCATGGTTTTTATGGCAATATTACCTTCACCTTTGCATGAACCCACTTCGCCAGCTGTTCCCTCCGCCGTGAAGTTGGCTGAACAGGATAAATGCCACGTTTTATCAACCAAGCCCAAGGGGCTCCGAGGCTGCTTCCTCGAACCACAACGGAAAGGGGAGTTTATTGCAAGTCTCGGCTTTGATTTGTAAATTGTCCTGAAGTCAAACACATACGGGATGCCAAGGTACAGAATGCAGAAACGCAAGACAGCGTGAGCGCAGAAATCGGTGTCGTAAACGTTGATAGGTTGACAAATGAGAAAGCTCAAGACGCCTGAGGAAGGCATTCGCTCCTCCCTCCCTTGGTGAACTCACACCTCAGGCACCTCTGGGCCTACGCACCCCGAATTCGGGATCCTTCCCTCCACACCGCCCCAGCACCCCCAGGAACTGAGGAGATAAACAGCAGGTGCTTTTCACATACACAGAAAGTCTCCACACAGTTCCAAATGTGACAAAGTGAAGGTATTATTTAATCATGAGGCAATAAGGTGATGAATAGCAAGAACCTACAGCCAAAAATACTCTACCCAGCAAAGCTATCACTCAGAATCGAAGGCCAGATAAAGAGCTTCACAAATAAAAAAAAAAATAAAAAAATCTAAAGGAGTTCATCACCGCCAAGTCAGAATTATATGAATTGCTGAAGGGGGTTCTTTAGGAAGAGAAAGAAGATAAAGATGAAAATTATGAATAACAAATACGTAACTATCAACAAGTGAATCTAAAAACCAAGGGAATTAAAAAACCTGATGAACAATATTAACTAATGAATATAATAGAATCAGAGGTATGGAAGGGGAGTGGACTGACGATTCACAGGGAAAAGGGGAGTGGGGGTGCGGGAAGAGACTGAACATAAACTGTGCACCTATGGAGGAGGACAATGGGGGGTGGGGAAAGGGCAGAGGGTGGGGTGGGAACCTGGTGGAGGGGAGCAACGGAGGGGGGAAAATGAGGAACATTTGTAATAATAGGAACAACAAAGATTTATTTTTTTAAAAAATCATGAGACAATAAAATAAAAAATTTAGCCCGGCCAGCCTGGCTCAATAGTTGAGCATCGACTTATGAACCAGGAGGTCATGGTTCAATTCCTGGCCAAGGGCACATGCCTGATTTGCAGCTGGATCCCCAGTAGGGGGCGTGCAGGAGGCAGCTGAGCAATGATTCTCATCATTGATGTTTCTATCTCTCTCTCCCTCTCCATTCCTCTCTGAAATCAATTAAAAATATATTTTTAAAATACTTTAAAAAACCGCTAAACATTCTACCAGACAAATGTAAACACAATCACAAAGCAAGAGCAGTGAATGCTATAGAAACAACTCCGAAATGTTATCTTCGTCAAAGGCCAAGTTGTCCAGCAAAATGGCCATGTGGTGGGTCTGTGCATGCCAACGCTCTCTAATGCCAGGAGAGGCCTACGTTTCTGGCAAATTGGACCCAATATTCACATTCGGGCTATGAAGGCAACTGCCTCAAGTTTCCTGATTCCCACGGACATATGGCAGCTTCGGCCACCGTTCTATTCGCTCCTCGATGGCACGACCATTTACAATCATGCAGGCCTGGAACACTTAACTGCTGCTATTTCCTGCTGGTCACGTTCCCTTACTAATTCACGCCGCCAACTGGGGAGGACAGGAGGCACCAACCCACCATCTTTCTTGGGTTAATTTGCATATTTACTCCTGATTGGCTGGTGGGTGTTGTGAAGGTACAGCCATTCAAACGCGAGCAGTCATCTATATGCACAAAGTGTGCCCACAAACTTTGGAGAATGCAGAGTCCAGAGAGCAAATGCCACCAAATCAGATGCCTCCCCCCAAGTATCTACCCTACTAATACTCAGCGGCTTCTCACAGAAACTCGCCCGTGGCTTTTTAGACTGAGATTCCAGCCATTGTCAAGCAGGGATGAGCTTGAGCAGGTGGCAGCCGAGACAGTGTGGCTAGTGCTTAGGAGCACAGGCTTTGAATCAGAAAACTATGAGGTCCCATCTCAGCTCCACCTCTTTTTTTAAAGTATATTTTTATTTATTTCAGAGAGGAAGGGAGAGGTAGAGAGAGATAGAAACATCAATGGTGAGAGAGAATCATTGACCAGCTGCCTCCTGCATGCCCCCTACTAGGGGATGGAGCCTGCAACCCAGGCATGTGCCCTTGACTGGAATCAAACCCGGGACCCTTCAGTTTGCAAGCCGACGCTCTATCCACTGAGCCAAGCCAGCTAGGGCAGCTCCACCTCTGACTGAGTGAACTTGCACAAATTACTTAACCTCTCCTGGCCTCAGTTTCCCCATTGAAAAACTATATCCAAAATATTTACTATCCAATAGGGTTCTCCAGAGAATTAAATGTAACAATGTATGCAATAAACCTGGTCCAGAACTCGCAACATAAAAAGCACTCAATACATGCTCGTTGTTACTGCTTTTAAAAGACTAATAAAAGAGTAACATGCTAATTGACTGTACCTTCACGACGCCCACCAGCCAATCAAGAGTGAGTATGCAAATCAACCCAACAAAGATGGTGGGTTAATTTGCATACACAGAGGGCTGAGAGCTGGGCAGGAAGCAGGCATTCTGGACCACCCAAGCCACTCTGGGCCTTTGGGCAGTGTGGGGAGGCAGAAAGGCAGCTCCAGCCACAGCAAAGGTGGTGCCAGCATCCAAAGGAAGGAAGGCCATTCTTGCATGAATCTTCATGCATCGAGCCTCTAGTCACTAATAACAAGTTAACATGCTCACACCTCCCAGGGCTGGAACAGCAAGGCCCAGCAATGTTTGACTCGCCTACTCGTAGTAGCAGAACTGATGCTGGTCCAGGAAGAGTTGGCATCAGCCCCCAAGGGCAGCCATGTGGGAAGGTGGGGAAGATGCCATGGCTCAGAGTCCAAGTCCCAACCCATGTCAGCATCTCACTCACCTTCACACACCAACTGGTTTGAAGCAGCAATAACAGAAGCCAAGACAGACTTTAGCACAAAGAAGGCAAGCACAAGGCTGAGCTCCTGACCTGGGCAGATGCTCGGACAGGGGGCAAAATACAAAACAGACACAAGGGCTGCAGACTGATGCCCCTGGGACACCCAGGGCTCAGGCCACACTGAACTGGCTGAGGCAGGAGGAACTCTCCAGACTCGTCCAGAATCAGCTGGAGGGAGCAAGCTCGCACCATGCTGCCAAGACCCGCTCCCCATAGACTGAAGGCAGTGCTGTACTGAATCTGTCCCTGGATTAAAGGGACACGCCCATCTCCCTCACCTAACCAAAGAAAGGAATAAAGTCCTCCATGAAGGGGCAGCACAGAGTGCATATCTGAAACAGCAGTTATCGTCTGGAAGTCCAATTCGGGGTGCCCCTGAGCCCTAAGATAAGACGCGTCCCAAGGACCCCAGCCTCAGAGTCATTCTCAGCAGAACCCCTCTAAGACCTTGCCAATCCCAGTGGCTCTCCCAGGGAGACAGACTGCATTGCTGCAAGATGCTACGGATTCAGACTTAAGACATGCTGTTAGGCCAAAACCGGTTTGGCTCAGTGGATAGAGCGTCAGCCTGTGGACTGAAAGGTCCCGGGTTCGATTCCAGTCAAGGGCACATGCCCGGGTTGTGGGCTCGATCCCCAGTGGGGGACTTGCAGGAGGCAGCCGATCCATGATTCTCTCACATCGTGGATGTTTCTACCTTTCTCTCTCCCTCTTCCTTCCTGAAATCAACAAAAATATATTTTAAAATAAATAAAGTCTCACATTAATCATCTAAACTCAAAGAGAACAGTAGAGCAACCTTTAGTTTGGAATCCTTAGAAAAGGATCCAAAAGAAAAAAAAGAGAAGAAAAAAGAAAAAAAAATAGTTATATCAGGCAAGGTCTTAAATCTCAATATGAGAGTAAGCTACCATTATTAGCTCACTCACTGACTTGGAATTTTTATAAGGGATGTGTTCAAAAGGGTTAGATAATGATGGCCAGATAGTAGCAGCTACGCTAGATGGAATGGATAAGGGATGGAAGATTAAAGAAAACAATGGGGCCGAGGACAGGGGGAAAGAGCTCGGGGCGTGGACCGGTCATCAAAACAACTGGACATGTCTCTGAGTCTACGATACTGAAGTCACGAAACCCTTTTGGGTGGAGCAGAAACTGGGGTGGCTGGTTTAGAAACAGCCTGATTCATGACCTGACCTTATTTACAGCAGGAAGGATGACCGGTCCCAGCCATTCCCATCTGAGACAGGCTGCGAGCCCAGCGGTAGAACTGGTTCCAGTGGTACCTGATTGGGAGCCACGGCACTACATGCCACCTTGCCCATTCAAGTCCCCAAACCTCATAAGGAAATGTCACTGAGTTGCACTTTCCAAGTCCATTTCCTCTCCAAGATTGCAGATGTAATCATAACCACAGCCAGTTCTGCCACAACTTCTGGTTCCCTTTGTATGAACCGAGTGACTCCAGCAAAAAACGCTCCCCAAGTGCCAGAAACCCCGCCCCCGCCCGTAACCACAGCAACGGTGACACGCCGCTAGCCCTGGGATTCCCGGTTCCGCCCCCCTCCCCTCCCGAATATTGTTTCTCACTCTCTGTCCACATGGGCGCACCGCCTCCCTATTGGCCGGTGCCTTAGGGCTGTGCCTCGCTTCAGCCAATAAGCGGCCTGTGCACGTGCACAGCTGCGTATCCCGATAGGTCACTGCGGGCCGATCACGCACTGCCTACCTGAGCCAGCCGCCGCGTGGGGCGCCAATGAAATGACTCAGTAGCCACTTCCAACCAATCGGCACCAAGCTGGGGTCCGCCGCCGACCTATGGGCGCGCGCCGGGGGCGGGCATTCCCGGCCGGCTTCCAGTCCCAGCGGGGTTTGTTAAAGTGACAGGCCCCAGGGCGCGCCAGGGCTCCTCCACGGGGCATCGCACCGCGGCCGCTGCGCCCCTCCGTGTGCGGCCGGCGCCCGTGACAGCGGCGCCGTTCGGCTCCCGTTCCCGGATCCCGGGTGCTGCCGGTCTCTTGAGCGGGATGGGCGGCGAAGCGGGGTCCGCAGCGGCCCTGGGCGGCTCCGAGGGGGGGCGCGTGAAGAGCCTGGGGCTGGTGTTCCAGGACGAGGGCAAGGGCTGCTACGCGAGCGGCGAGACGGTGGCGGGGCATGTGCTGCTGGAGGCGGCCGAGCCCGTGGCCCTGATCGCGCTGCGCCTGGAGGCCCTCGGCCGCGCCACCACCTCCTGGGGCTCCAGCGCTGGCTCCGCAGCCCCGGCCTCCGCCTCGGAGGTGGAATACCTGAACCTGCGCCTGAACCTGCGCGAGGCCCCTGCTGGTGAGCAAAATGACAGCCTCCCGAGGTCCGGGTGACAGCGGGGACGCTTGGGAAGGGGCGCGCCTGCAGATGCCCACCTGCCGGGTGGGCATCTGCTGGCTCCAGCGGGGTGGGGTTCACCCTTGCAGGTCACGCGCAGGTAACAATGCCTGCACCCCCACACACATACACACCTCACAGCACCAGGGAGATCCTGCGAGGTGGCTGCATCCCTCTACCTAGCATCCCAGACCTCCTGGGAGCGCTCTGGGAGGGAACCGGTTGCCATGGAAACCTGGGATGCGCTGTCAGGAAGCCAGTGTCTGGGACTGTCCAGGTCTCTTGGCCCTTCAAGGCCTGAGCAACCAGCTTGTGTGAGGTGCCATGCCCTGGCGCCCCGAGTTTTATGGGCCTCCCCTTCTGCCGGTCCAGAATTTGGGTGCTGGCTGGTTTGTGGGAAATTAGCAAAACCTGTCTGGCCCGGTCGTCGTTCAAAGAAAGTGTTTCTTGGCCATCCTACTTAGAATCCCTCTCTCTCGGGAGCACGGGTCCCTTAAGAGTACTGTCTCTGCCTTTCCTTCTTTTTACTATTTTTGCTGTTTTTTGTTCCCTTTTTCACGCCGCCCACCCCATCCCTTTAGAGACAGGAGGGTATGGATATGATAAGAGTCTCTGGAGGGCCCTAGCTGGTGTGGTTCAGTGGATAGTGCATCAGCCTGCGGCCGGAAGGGTCCCGGGTTCGATTCCAGCCAAGGGCACACACATGGGTTGTGGGCTGGATCCCCAGGAGGGGGCATGCAGGAGGCAGCCGATCCATGAGTCTCTCTCATCATGGATGTTTCTCTCTCTCTCTCCCCTCTCCCTTCCTCTCTGAAATCAATTAAAAATATTTTTTTTAATCCTCTGGAGCAGGGGTCCTCAAACTTTTTAAAGTGGGGGCCAGATCACGGTCCCTCAGAGAGCTGGAGGGCCGGACTATATGAACTACTAATTCCTACTGTAACACCTCGGCTGCGCTTACTGCCCAAAAAACCTGGCGGGCCGGATCAGACTCCTCTGCGGGCCGCATGTGGCCTGCGGGCCGTAGTTTGAAGACGCCTGCTCTGGAGGAAAGATCACCCTTCCTTTCTACTCTTGTGAAGTCCAGTTTAATAGTCTAGGCCAGTGGTCAGCAAACTCATTCGTCCACAGAGCCAAATATCAAAAGGACAACGACTGACATTTCCTTGGAGAGCCACATTTTTTAAACTTCTTCTAACGCCACTTCTTCCAAATAGACTCGCCCAGGCTGTGGTATTTTGTGGAAGAGCCACATTCAAGGGGCCAAAGAGCTGCATGTGGCTCTCGAGCCGCAGTTTGCCAACCACGGGGCTGGGCTTTTCCAGGAGTCCCCACTCTATGGCTGTACCATTAGCGTTACATGCAATCACTGATTTCCTTCAATCATGAAACTACTAGGAACATTGAGTCTCAGTCTTCCTGTAGTTGGTAGAAGCTATTTTACTTATTTTTTTTCTGCTTCATGAGCTTCAGCTTTTAGCTATTAAATAATGATACAAGCCCCCCTCCCTCGCCCACCAAGAGTAAGATGTACTGTATCTTTGCTTGACTCTTGCTATGCCTTATACAAAATCAATAGAATGTGCCGTTTTGCCTTGTCCTACTATGCAAAAGCAAATCCCACAGATAAATCCTCAAAGTGTGTGAGAATGGAGTGATCCCCAAAACTGTAGGGAGGAAAAACATTTGGAACCAAAGCTCTCTTGTTTTGTAATGTTTTTGTTTGTTTGTTTTTAATTTATTTTTGTTAATTTCAGACAGGAAGGGAGAGGGAGAGATAGAAACATCAATGATGAGTCACTGATCAGCTGCCTCCTGCATGCCCCCTACTGGGGATCGAGCCCACAAGCCAGGCATGTGCCCTTGACCGGAATCGAACCGGGGACCCTTCAGTCTGCAGGTCAATGCTCTACCCACTGAGCTAAATGGGCTAAGGCTGAAGCTCTGTTTTGAATGACTGCTAAGAGCAGTGTGTTAGGTGACAGCTGTTACCTGCCTTTGGGGCTTTTCATCATGAATGTGGTTTCCTGGGGGCAATAAGCTCCCCCCTGCTTCCCCCAGATTCTCAGGATGGCTGAGAGGGCCGTGGAGAGAGAAGTAGATTGTTTTTGTCCAGGACTTTGGACTCTGTCTCTGGGCCCATGGCGACTAAGTAAATAGATGTCAGATTAACAGCAGTTAGATCTACCTAGCAAAAAAGAAACCAAAAACATACTTTGCTAAAATCTGGGCTAACAAATAACATTATGATTCACAAGTCAAATTTTTGTGTTTTCGTTCTGATGGGCTGGAATGCCCAAATCTAAACAACTTGACTGGCTTGTTTGCAGAAGGCATCATAACAAACGAGGGCAAAAGTATGTTCTACTTTCAAAACGGTCATCGTTTTCATGGCTTTCCTACAGAAATACAAAGAGGTCACTCCTGTGTCTGAAAGAAGTCAGCAACTTTTGTGGTCACCTGTTTGTTCTCAGGGTCGCTTAATGCCAAAACATAGCAGATTGCAATCATTCGAACAGATTTCCAGAAATATTGAAAGAGTTTGGGTAAGGGTGGCTTATGGGATCTATTTTCAGAAAAACCTCCTCAGCTCATTCCTGGGCATTGCTCATCTACCCCAACTCCTTATTTTTGTGGCAGCTGATTTTCTTCAGAATTTTATTGCGAAATTGTGGTCGAGAGACCAGACCGGCCGGAGAGTTGGTTTCCGTTCTTGGTCACCCTCTGGGAGGGGTGACCTTGTGTGCATCCCTCATCCGTCCTGAGCCCCCCTCTAACTCTGAAGGGCTTCTAGCTCACACAGCTCAGCTGGAGAGAGAGAAACGTTAATGATGAGAGAGAATCAATGATCGGCTGCCTCCTGCACGCCCCCTACTGGGGATGGAGCCTGCAACATGGGTGTGTGCCCTTGACCAGAATTGAACCCAAGACCCTTCAGTCCCCAGGCCTACGCTCTATCCACTGAGCCACACCAGCTAGGGCTTTGTCTGTAAGACCATTAGCAAATGGAGCCTCGTGGCATATGGGAAAGGACGCCTGAGTCAACCTGGGAAACTTTTAAATTCTAAACAAATAAAATGAGAGAAAGAGAAAGAGAATAAAGGCAAACACTGGTGTCCAAATACTGTCACTCACACATCTATCAACTGTCTCAATTCTTTTTCCTGTTTGTGTTTTGAGGTGATTACACATCTCTTTTAAAGGTTCTTTAAAAAAAAAAATATATATATATATATATATATATGTATTTTATCAATTTCAGAGAAGACAGGAGAGGGAGAGAAACATCAATGATGAGAGAGAATCATTGATTGGCTGTCTCCTGCATGCCCCCTACTGGGGACTGGGCCCGCAACCCTGACAATGCCCTTGACCGGAATCGAACCCAGGACCTTTCAGCCTGCAGGCCGATGCTTTAACCACTGACAGTCCCTATGTTGGTTAGTTTTGTCTTGAAGAGGGAACTTCATCTCCTTCTTACCCTCCTTTGAAATCCTGAATCACTTCCCCCACTTGTCTATCATGCCCTGTTCCCTTCATCTGAGCGCCCTCCCACTAATCTCCATGCCAACCGCAGCATGCCATGGGTGTGGTCCTCAGGGTGCCAGTCTCCGGCCCCTCAGGCTCCAGCACCCCGTGGTCACTACTGGGGTACAGGTGTCAGCCCCCTCCCTCCCAAGGCCCTGTGTGAGGACTGAAGTTATTCATCCTTACAGCCTCACATCTGGGCACTATCAACTTTGACCTCAATTGAAGCCCACCATTTTAAACATTTTACAGTACTTTAGGTTGGCCTATTCAGCCCCAGCTGGTGTGGCTCAGTGGATAGAGCGTCGGCCTGGGGAGTAAAGGATTGTGGGTTCAATTCTGGTCAAGGGCACACACCCAGGTTGCGGGCTCGATCCCCAATAGGGGGTGTGCAAGAGGCAGCTGATCATTGAGTCTCTCTCATCATTGATGTGTCTCATCATTGATGTGTCCTTCCTCCCTCTCCCTTCCTCTCTGAAATCAATAATAAGTTGTCATATTCAGTAACCTAGTGGTTATAAATTAGAATGAAGCCCAGCTCTCAGGAGCACGGGGCCTGCCCTGAGCCTTCCCTTGCTGGCTGCACAGTGAGTGACGTGGCTTCGCTGCTCAGGCTCAAGGGCACACCTGGGCCTGGGACTCCGTCTCTGACTGTCACTTTTAGTGGCCCACATCCCTGTGGCCTGTTCCTTTGGCCTCCAAGTCACCCTGCCCTCCCCGCCCCTCCACCGTGGATTTAGTTGAATGACCTTAAATGGCACACGTTTTGTTTATTTTCCCCCAACATATCACACATTGCAAACCGGGGCCGGCTTCAGGAGCCAATGGGCCAGAGCGGCGGGTGTCCCTGTGTCTAAAAGCACAGGGTTGGAATGTTTAAGGCCTTAGAAGTCCCATGAAACACTATCCCCTTCACTAGCGATTTCTGCCTGTTAAAAGGCTCTCAGTTAAATGCTCTCAGTGAGCGCATGCGGTCGTATCAAGTGGCCAGGCACAGCTCAGACAGCGCGTTCCCAGTCTCTGCAGCCCTTTCTCCGTCCTAGTCACCCCACCCTGGAGGGAACTTCATTGTGAACTTGAACCTGTGAGGGTGGGAAGGTTCCCTCGAGGGCCCCCGACCAGCACTGCCGGCCTGGAGCTGGCCTTGAACCTGAATAACACAGGTGCACACCTTGCATCTCGCTTCCCACCACCAGGGCTAAGCCTGGGTGTGAAATAAAACGGAGCTGGCTGACCCCTAGCAGGAGGAAGGGGTCATGGCAGCGCGTGGCAAATCCCCTCTCTCTATCCCACGCTAACCACCCAGGCACCCATTCGTCAGCAGACCTGGGGTATAATCAATACGTGGTTCTCGCTTAAATAACTGGTCCTGTAGCTGTGTAGTATTATATTGTACTTAATATGCGTAATAGTCGACATTAATTTTTCTCCTCTTTTTCCACCTCTGCCCAAGGAGTACACAGCCTGACTTTTGAGATATACCAAAATAGATAGATGTATTTTTTTATTAGTTCGTTTTCAGTGAGATTTAATATTGGTATCTGATGTTAGTTAGCATAATAGTGTACTGATGTTGGTATACCCATGCTAATATAAGAGTGGGTGGTATCCATACAAATGTTCGTGTATATACATATAAATATGTGTACACATGTTTATGTATAAACATACATGTGTGTGCAAATATTTAGGTACATGCATATGTGTGTACACATTTATGTATATACATGTATATAAATGTTTATGTGCGTGCACATAAGTGTGTACACATGTTTATGTGTATACATATGTATACAAATGTTTATGTATATACTCATAAGTATGTGTACACATTTATGAATATATGTGTGTATACACATGTTTATGTATACTCACATACATGTGTGTATGCACGTTTATGCATATGGGAGCTCTGTGGTCTCACACTTTCTGATTGGTACTTGTGTAATTGTCTATTTGAAGACAGAAGCTGTATACATGTTGAAACTTGGTACAAACAGATTCAAATTTTAATTCTCAGAATCTCCGTTCAATGAACTTTTTGGAGTACACCAGATAGTACAGCCAGGGAAACCTCCTTTTTTAAAAACATGTGGCTAAGGTGGTGACACTTCTTGACCTGTTCCTAACCTTAGTCAAAATAAAATGTCTGCTCTGTTTTAGGTGAAGGCATCCTCCTATTACAGCCCGGAAAGCACGAATTCCCATTTAGCTTTCAACTCCCGTCTGAGTAAGTGGAACAACTGTAACTTTTTAAAATGTTCTACCCTGCCTCCCATCCGACCTGCTCCCCCCATCCATCCGCACGTGTGGGTACCAGTACCTCCCACTGGCAGGCGCGCTTGCTTATCCTGAAAAGCCCCAGACAGACCCGCCCCTGCTCCGGCTCCGGGCACGCCCGGGCCCGCCCCTGCCCTCACTCATGTTTCTTTTAAATATATTTTTATTGATTTTTTAGAGAGAGGAAGGGAGAGAGAGAGAGAGCTAGAAACGTCGATGAAAGAGAAACATCGACCAGCTGCCTCTTGCACCCCCCCCACCAGGGATGTGCCCGCAACCAAGGTACATGCCCTTGAGCGGAATCGAACCCAGGATCTTTCGATCAGCAGGCCGACGCTCTACCACTGAGCCAAACCGGTTTCAGCTCATGTTTTTTTTAACCAAACCAACATGCTGAGAGCTTTGCCTGGTGTGTGTGTGTGTGTGTGTGTGTGTGTGTGTGTGTGTGTTTTATAGTGAATATTTGTTTTTCTTTTTACTTTATTTTTATTTTTTATATATTTTATTGATTTTTCACAGAGAGGAAGGGAGAGGGATAGAGTTAGAAACATCGATGAGAGAGAAACATCGATCAGCTGCCTCCTGCACACTCCCTACCAGGGATGTGCCCGCAACCAAGGCACATGCCCCTGACCGGAATCGAACCCCGGACCTTTCAGTCCGCAGGCCGACGCTCTATCCACCGAGCCACACCGGCTTCGGCTGTGTGTGTGTTTTTAATGTGTGTTTTTAGTCTTTATTGCTGTATGTATTATATAGGTCCTCCTTCCCTTCCCCTCCCCTTTCCCTGCTCCTCCCCCATTAACCTCCTCCAGCCGCTCTGGTTGTGTTTGCCTGAGCAGTAAACTGAGCCATTCATTTCATTCATTTCATTCATTTCATTCATCATTCATTTCATTCATCTCTCTGGCGGCACCCAGGCTATTGGTGACCTCCTTCTCCGGGAAGTACGGCCGCATCCAGTACTGCGTGCGGGCGGTCTTAGAAAGACCCGCGCTGCCAGACCAGAGCGTCGGGCGGGAGCTGCAGGTGATCAGTCACATCGATGTCAACACACCCGCCTTACTCGTAAGTCCTTCCTCCTTCCTTCCCGCCCAGCCCTCTCTTCCTCCTTCCTCTCCGGAGCAATCCACACCCAGCCACTGAGGGCTGGTCTGCCCTGTCCCTTCCTGATACGATCGCCTAACCCCATGGTCGGCAAACCGCGGCTCAAGAGCCACAGGCGACTCTTTGGCCCCTGGAGTGTGGCTCTTCCACAAAAGACCGCGGCCTGGGCGAGTCTATTTGGAAGAAGTGGCGTTAGAAGAAGTTTAAGGTTAAAGCATGTGGCTCTCCAAAGAAAGGTCATTCGTTGTCCTGCTGATATTTGGCTCTGCTGACTAATGAGTTTGCCGACCGCTGTCAAGGTAACCCATAGGCATTCATCTACACATGTGCTCAGAGGCTGAGCAAATTGCAAATCGCGCGTGTTAACCAATGACACAGGCGGGAACGCATGTATAAGGCTTAATAATAATAATAATAATATAATAACGCGTACCCGGACAGCGTTGCTTCTAACAGAGCCGCCACACGCATGGGGCTGGGTTGGGGGGGCTGGGGTATTCTCAAGCCTCAGTAATAGCAGGTTGGGGAGCAGTAATTACGCAAGAGTATTAATCAGGCCCAGCCGGTGATTGAGGCTCCGGCCATTATGCTTTGCGTCCCTCCATCCGGCGTGTCATTTTCTGACATTAAGTAAGTGCAGGCAGCTGTGGGGGGACCCTTACACTTATCATCTCCTTGCAACAGATTTGGCCATATCACGGCATTGAACTTGTAATAAAACACCCGGAACACTGTCGCCCGAGGAGCAAGATGAGGCTCTAAGTAACAACAGAACGGCCGCGATGGGGGCTAATGAGTGGGATTCTTTTATCTACGCCCGCATTATCAAAATCATATAAAATTAGACCTTGTACTTTCATGATGGGTGCTGGGACAGAATGGTTCTTCATTTCAATATGAATGAATGATTTTTTTATTTTTTTTACTTCATAAAACACACTGGGATAATTGAAACTTTTCATCATGGAACACTGGTCCCAAAGATGTATTTTAATACGGGGGTTTCTTTCTTAGCCAATGCTTTTAAAGATAAAGGAAAAAAAGCCAGGCATTAGAGGAGTTGTTTAACTCTATTTCCGCATGAAAATGGACTAGAATTTACTCTAATGTTCACCTTTAGATTGCAGAAATATTAACAGATGTGCCCTGTTTGCATATTTCAGACCCAAATCATAACTAACCAGCATCCAGCAATCTGGTATATAGCTAAGGCTTATCCCGGCTTAAACTGGCAATGCTAAGTGTCTTGTATTTTATTTTAATTTTTTAAAATATATTTTACTGGCTTTTTACAGAGAGGAAGGGAGAGGAATAGAGAGTTAGAAACATTGATCAGCTGCCTCCTGCACACCCCCCACTGGGGATGTGCCAGCAACCAAGGTACATGCTCTTGACTGGAATCAAACCTGAGACCTTTCAGTCTGCAGGCCGATGCTCTATCCACTGAGCCAAACTGGTTTTGGCAGTGTCTTGTATTTTTAAAAATGACTTCAAATTGGGAAGTAAACTATTTATGGGACCATGATGGCAAATGATTTAAAGAGATTTTATTTTTTGCCAAAAAAAAAAAAAAATACTATTATCCTTCATTATTATTTTTTTAATACATATTTTTCTTGATTTCAGAGAGGAAGGGAGAGGGAGAGAGAGATAGAAACATCAATGATGAGAGAGAATCATTGATTCGCTGCCTCCTACTGGGAATGGAGCCCTCAACCCAAGCATGTGCCCTTGCCTGGAATCGAACCTGGGACCCTTCAGTCCGCAGGCCGATGCTCCACTGAGCCAAACTGGCCAGGGTTACTATTCTTTCTATAAACAAAGAAGAAGCACATTATGACTTTGGGCTTTACAATGAACTTGTAATCTGTGTATCATCATGTATTGTTTCCTTGGAGTGGGAAGTACAGTGGTGTGTTCAGTCATCATTTGGATCCCTAACCCCGGGTATGTTTTCCTGCCATTACACAGAAAACAAAAGCCATTCTACCCTAAAAACACTGGACATGTCTGCCTAATAACGCATTTGGAAGTAAGTGAGGAGGAAAAGGGCAGTTGGCTTATTCCGCAGTTTCAATGCCAAAACACATAGAACACGATGGTTATTGATTTTTCTGCCATTTCTCCTTTGACCTGATCTCCATAGAGGGTCTTAAATAAAATAGCACTTCTGCCCTGACTGGTTTGGCTCAGTGGATAGAGCATCAGCCTGTGGACCGAAGGGTCCCAGGTTCGGTTCTGGTCAAGGGCATGTACCTTGGTTGCAGGCACATCCCCAGTAAGGGGTGTGCAGGAGGCAGCTGATCGATGTTTCTCTCTCATTGATGTTCCTAACTGTCCTCCCTTCCTTTCTGTAAAAAAATCAATAAAATACTTTTAAAAAATAATAATTCTCACATGTTAATAGGGATCCCTAGGGGTGCTGGTTACTTTTGTAAGGGATGGAGTATCATTTCCCAGAAACATAATGACTAATCCAAATCTGAGCATTCACTTTCGTTTTCCCAAAAAGTGAAGGGTTTTCCATGCTCCGTGTGTCAGTAAGTATTCTACCTAAAATGTCACAGGAAATCAGGAAGTTTGATCTGTCCTAGACATTCCTTTACAACTCCGTCATGAAGAATCCCATCATTCTCTAAGTTTTGTGAATTTCCTGGACTGGTTTCCTTAAAGCTGTTTTATCCTTTGAAATTTCCAAGAGCCCCGTATTGAAAACTCAAGAGAAAATGGTGGGCTGCTGGTTCTTCACCTCGGGTCCCGTCTCGCTGAGTGCCAAAATCGAGAGGAAAGGATATTGTAACGGTAAGCGCAATGTCATGAACGCTCACATGGCAGATTCATTCACTTTATTAGCTAAAAATTTAGGTGATCTTACATAATGTGTTTGGTCATTTCTGAAGAATACACTATTTTAAAGCATGTATAATAAATGTGGCTGCTTTTGATATAAATAATTGATGGTTAGCCCAGGAAGCGTGGCTCAGTGATTGAGCATCGACCTATGAACCAGGAGGTCACGGTTCGATTCCCGGTCAAGGGCATATGCCTGGGCTTCGGGCTCGATCCCCAGTAGGGGGCGTGCAGGAGGCAGCCGATCCATGATTCTCTCTCACCACTGATGTTTCTATCTTTCCCTCTTTCTGTCCCTCTCTAAAATCAATAAAATTTTTAAAAATAAATAATTGGTATTAACTATTTTTGAGCGGACAAGTAGATTCCAATAAAACGCCAGATATTCCTGACTTCCGTCCTGTGACTCTTATACCTGGAAACGTGGGTAAATGCTGGCATCCTGTTTTCATGTAAAAAAAATGTCCAGGGCAGCGTTGCTCAGAAGAGCGTTCTTGTATGAAAGCTGCTACCCTGTTTCCCCAAAAATAAGACAGTGTCTTCTATTAATTTTTGCTCCCAAAGTTGCGCTAGGTCTTATTTTCAGGGGATGCCTTATTTTCGGGGAAACACGGTAGGCATACTGATTCCACGCTGGGAATACAAACATCCGGGGCTAGAATGTAGAAAGAACGCTGTCCCACTTGACCTTCCGGCTGATACCAGAACTCCCATTTGCGAAGGGCCTGATTCCGTTCCAGGAATCCGGCCCCCACCCCGGGGTCCCATCTTACTGGAAATGAATGGGGGATGGTAGGTAGGATAGTAGGATGTGCCTTGCCATCTAATCCTTAGAAGCCAGGCTCAGTTCTTTAAGGAGGGGGGGGACAGATTTTAATCAGGTGGGCACTGAGCTTCTCAGTGAGCTTCTGTACTTACTATGGCATCCAACCATTAACTTGTATGTCTGACCTTAATTTTTGAAAATATATTTTATTGATTTTTTTTACAGAGAGAAAGGGAAAGGGATAGAGTTAGAAACATCAATGAGAGAGAAACATTGATCAGCTGCCTCCTGCACACCCCCCACTGGGGATGTGCCTGCAACCAAGGTACATGCCCTTGCCTGGAATCGAACCCGGGACCTTTTAGTCCGCAGACTGATGCTCTATCCACTGAGCCAAACCAGTTAGGGCCTTTCCTTAATTTTGAAAGTTATTAGTCATTTACATTGCTTTAGAAATGATAACCTAATATCACAGCATTAGAAAGCGAATCATCTATAATAATAAAAGCATAATATGCAAATTAGACTGGACGTCCTTCCAGACTAAAGCCAGGGCTGGGAGGGAAGCCCGGGTACCAGGTGCCTGCTGGTGGCCAGAGGGAAGCTCAGATCCCGGGAGCTAGAGGGAGCTGGTGCTGGAAGGCGGAGGAAGAAAAGCCTATTCTTGCACGAATTTCATACATCACACCTCTAGTCCTATATAATAAAAGGCTAATATGCAAATTGCTCCATTGACAGGAAGTTCGACCAGGGGGCGGGTCTAGCCAACCAACTGCCCACAGCCCCTCTCCCCCCACCGACCCTGCTACTGATTGGCTCCCCAACCCATGCACAAATTCGTGCACCAGGCCTCTAGTGCAATAATAAAATAATGTCTGCCACAACCTGCAGTGAATTTTCAATCCTCCAGCTCAGATTTACAATAGGTTTTCCATCAGGGCTTCTCAAAACTTGTTGCAGTTTTGTTGCGAACCTTCCAGCTTTTGTGGGGAGAACTTTCTGCCAAGTCTCTGAAGGTTCTGGCATGTTCTTTGTCCATTTTAGGAGAAGCCATTCCGATCTATGCAGAAATAGAGAACTGTTCCTCCCGCCTGATTGTCCCCAAAGCTGCTATTTTTCAAACCCAGACGTACTTGGCCAGCGGGAAGACGAAGACCGTCCGGCACATGGTCGCCAACGTGCGAGGAAACCACATCGCCTCGGGGAGCACCGACACGTGGAACGGGAAGATGCTGAAAATCCCGCCCCTTCCGCCCTCCATCCTGGACTGTTGCATCATCAGAGTGGAATACTCCCTGGCGGTAAGCCGAGCTCTTGGCAAAACTAACAGCGTGCAGAATGGTCGGTCCATGGTCCTGCGACTATGTACGCTTGAACCCTAGTCATTTCCGGTCAGCAGCACTGCACTGCATTGTGGGCCAGATGAGCACCGGCCTTAGCTTTTGAGCAAAACTGTCCCCCTCTGGGCTTGAACTCAGTGACATGAAAGAATGCAGGTGCGTTGTGGTTGCTTGCTGTATGGAAGAACATGTACTCCCTTTTCTTTTCTCTTCATATATATATATATATATATATATATATATATATATATATATATTAATTGAATTTTTACAGAGAGGAAAGGAGAGGGATAGAGAGTTAGAAACATCTATGAGAGAGAAACATCGATCAGCTGCCTCCTGCACACCCCCCACTGGGGATGTGCCTGCAACCAAGGTACATGCCCTTGACTGGAATGGAACCTGGGACCCTTCAGTCTGCAGGCCGACACTCTATCCACTGAACCAAACCGGTTAGTGCCGTACTCCCTTTTCTATGGTTATTATGTAAGCCTTGCTCACCAGCAGTGAGGCGTGTTAAGGCCATGGTTCCCCATCCCTGACTGTGCGCTGTATGGGGTGCGCTCCTCCTGCGGTCTGTCCTTCCTTTTATTAGGTCTGGACAATGGACAATTGTGTTATGGGGCGATGGCAGGTGACAAATGCATTTGTTTCTATAAAAAAATAAAGGAACCAGCAATTTCGGTAATGTTTAACTTCGTTGGTGCCTTTTTTTTCCTTCTTAAATATACTTTTATTGATGTCAGAGAGGAAGGAAGAGGGAGAGAGAAACACCAATGATGAGAATCATTGATCGGCTGCCTCCTGCGCACCCCCTACTGGGGAGCGAGCCCACAACCCGCGCATGCGCCCTTGGCTGGAATCGAACTCAGAATCCTTTGATCTCTAGGCTGATGCTCTATCCACAGAGCCAAAGAGGTTGTTGGTGCCTTTCTGTCTCTTTCATTTCCTTTTTCTTTTGTGATAACAGGTGTATATTCATATCCCTGGTGCTAAAAAGCTGATGCTGGAGCTGCCTCTGGTGATCGGGACGGTCCCGTACAACGGCTTTGCCAGCAGGAACTGCAGCATGGCCAGCCAGTTCAGCGTGGACATGAGCTGGTGGGCGCTGGCGCTGCCGGAACAGCCCGAAGGTAAAGGGTTCGGGGTTCTCGCAGAATGATGCTTTGCACATGAATTACCTAAGAATAGGACGTGGAACAGAGTGAGCGCTCAGATGGGAATTCCTGCTGCCGCCATAACTACACTTACTCTTACTAAACCCGTCAGGCAGTTGAAGGAGAAGCCACTGAGAGCTTAGCTTGCTCAGGAATAAAGTCTACATTCCCTGATTCCAGCGTAGAATAGAAAGCAATGAAAGGTAGTCAGCATAGAAGTACAGTGTGATATACACTGAGTGGCTAGATCATGATAATCTCTGAATGCATAATAATCTGGCCACTCTGTGTGTGTGTGTGTGTGTGTGTGTGTGTGTGTGTGTGTATTAGAGGCCCGGTGCATGAATTTGTGCATGGGTGGGGTCCGGCCAGCCTGGCCAGGGGGAGGAGACATGGGCAAGTTGGCTGGCCTGCCTGCTGGTCGAACTCCTGGTCGAGGGAACAATTTGCATATTAGCCTTTTATTCTATAGGATAGACACTGAGTGGCCAGATTATGATGCATTCAGAGATCATCATCATCTGGCCACTCAGTGTATTTTCTGTAGCCACATTTTTTTTTTCATTTCGTATTTAATTATATCTTTATTGATTTCAGAGAGGGAGAGGGGGAGAGAGAGAAACATCAATGATGAGAGAGAATCATGGATCGGCTGCCTCCTGCATGCCCCCCATAGGAGACTGAGCCCACAACCTAGGCATGTTTCTTGACTGGGAATTGAACCATGCCCTCCTGGTTGATGCTCAACCACTGGGCCACGCCAGCCAGGCTGTAGCCACATTTCACATGTTTGTTTGTTTTTAACCCAGATTTTGATACACATCTCAAAAGAACAGAGTATCATCAATGTTCGTACTTTCATCCAGGCAGACTCTCCTAGTTGCTTTTTGGTGCAATGCGCTTAAAAACGTGCTGATCAGAGGGAAGCCTACCGCTGCTTTAGCGTCAACTTGAGAGCAATTTCTTGTTCACGTGAGAGTGCAGAGGGGGTTCGTGGAATCCGGTTTTGCACGGCTGTCTTAGTCCCGCCCCGTTTCCGCTTCAGCACCCCCGGATTACACGGACGTGGTGTCAGAGGAAGAGGTCTCCAGACACGGCCCCCCTTACCCGCGCCTGCCCAGCTGGGAGGGCGAGGCCCGCTGCCCCGCCTTCGCCTGCATCCAGGACTTCCGGCTCCAGCCGCCACCTCTTTATTCAGAGGTAAGCAGAGCGAAAGCAGATCCGTCCGACCTGCGTTGTTGCAAACGCCTAGGTAGTAGGGCATCCATATTTAAAAAGTTTCTGGGTGTGTTTTTATTTATTTTAAAACATATATTTTATGGATTTTTTTTACAGAGAGGAAGGGAGAGGGATAGAGTTAGAAACATCGGTGAGAGAGAAACATCGATCAGCTGCCTCCTGCACACCCCCTACCAGGGGTATGCCCGCAACCAAGGTACATGCCCTTGACTGGAATCGAACCTGGGACCCTTCAGTCCACAGGCTGACGCTTTATCCACTGAGCCAAACCGATTAGGGCAAGTTTCTGTTTTGTTTGTTTTTTTAAAATATATTTTATTGATTTTTTACAGAGAGGAAGAGAGAGGTGATAGAGAGCTAGAAACATCTATGAGAGGGAAACATCTATCAGCTGCCTCCTGCACACCCCCCACCAGGGATGTGCCCGCAACCAAGGTACATGCCCTTGACCGGAATCGAACCTGGGACCCTTCAGTCCACAGGCTGATGCTCTATCCACTGAGCCAAACCAGTTAGGGCAAGTTTTGTTTTGTTTTGTTTTGTTTTGTTTTGTTTTGTTTTGTTTTTACGGTGACGAGAGATGAGCACTCTGTCACTGGCCACCCTCCCCGATGGAGCACTTTCCTTGTGGGACGTGGCCGAGGACCACAGAGCATCAACGCGCCTCCAGGGACTCGGTGGTCCTCCCCATCGCGTCCTTAGAAACGGATCCCAGCGTCGTTGCCAAGGAGTAACCAGGCTGCTCTCTCTTGCAGGTCGATCCGCATCCCAGTCGCGTCGGAGAGGCCCAGCCTGTGTCCTTCATCCTCTGAACACACCTGGGACATCACTGTGACCCGCACCGGAGGACGCTGGCTCTCTCCTCCGCCTTTTCGGGGACTTAGGGAGGGACAATTCGCTTAAGAACCTAAATAGGTCAACACCGAGGAATTAAAAACTACGTGAACTTTCCAGGGCCCGACAGGACTGTCACCCAAGCTGATGGCAGGCCCGAGGCTCCCCGCGGAAGAGGGAGTGACCTTGGGAAGCCACAGCGTGTAACGGGGTCCCAATGGGGACCCAGTAAGCGAAGGGACCAGGAATGTACGTGACCATGGCAACGCGCCTCTCAGAGGGAACCCAGAGCGGACAAAGGGACCAGAGCATCCGGGCCGTATGGGCGCGCTGGGAGGGCACTTGACTTGGGGGAAGCTGGCAGCGTAGGGATGTGCAGGCCCCAGGAGCCAGGAGTCGCCTGATTTCTCCCCGACCCCCTAGGACTCGAGTCCAGGAAAGACCTTTCCTGAGTTCAGGGTCCAGGAGGCCCCGATGATGTGACTCAGCGCTCACTCTTCTGGGGGGCTGGTTGGCCATGTGATTTGTAAGTGGGTGGGGAGTAGGATGAGCAGTTAAGAGTCTCTCCCAAGTTCAGGTCCAAGGGAAAGATGAATGTCTGCATGGAACCAGTCTGTGGAAGGCTGGGGTTTTACCCTCTTTCAGTCCCTGGACCGGATAGTGTTTGCTTTTTCTCATGTCTTATTGATGGGAGCATGTCAGAAAGAGAAGGGGGCGGGGGAGGGGAAGAGGTTGCATCCTTAGAAAGCCTTGATAACTACTCCGGAAAGAAAAAGAAGGTCTTTCCCTAACCTACCTCGAGGGGGTGATCCGACCGGTGTGAAACCTCAGGCTGATGCGTTTTAGGAGGGTCTAGCCCCGTGGTCGGCGAACTGTGGTTCGCGAGCCACATGCGGCTCTTTGGCCCCTTGATGGTGGCTCTTGCACAAAACACCACGGCCTGGGCAAGTCTGTGTTGAAGAAGTGGCGTCAGAAGAAGTTTAAGTTTACAAAATGCGGCTCTCCCAAGAAATTTCAGTCGTTGTGCTGTTGCTATTTGGCTCTGTGCACTGATGAGTTTGCCGACGACTAGTCTATACGTTGCAGTGATGTCTTACCGCATCTGAAACCACACGCAGGGGACAAGCCCCTATAGTTAGCGTTCCCGGATACACATATACACCAAAGGGCATTTCAAAATAAATGCAACGTCAAAGAGCGTAGAGACAGGCCATTTTTTTTAAAAAAAAGGCATGCATTTCCTTCCTGTGGGGAAGGCTCCGTGGCTTCTGATGACAGGCAGCGCCTGGTACCGGGTCAGTCCAGCTCCTTCAGTGACTCTGTTTAAACTGTGATTTCCTTTCTTGTTTCGGTGCAATATTTGATTGGCATTTAACCTCAGGAGAGTGAAACCAGCAGGCTACTGTCGTTGCTAAAATCCTGAGGAGTGTTTTCCCCCTTCCCCTGGGCCCTCCCAGTCGTGGTCTCACGGTCCCTTGCTTTGTCCTCTTGTCTGTCGGTTCTATGGTCTGGGAGTGTGTCTGGACAGGACGGGATGGGGGGTGGGCTCCTGGGATGGAGATTTGGGACCAGCTGAGGCCTTGTAGGGTTTGATCCAGAAACCCCGGTGCTTCACTCAACAGAACCGTTTACCTTCCAATCAGTGTGTCCAGTGAGAAATCGAAAAAAATACCCTTTCCGGTTAGATTCGGAATTTTGAAAAATTAGTGGGCCACCTGATTAGGGATTTTTCTACAAACATGAGATACGTGTATGTTTTTTCGCTCTCTCTTCTCTGTGGTCACGGGAGCCTCATGCATGTCTTTCCGTGTGAGCCACTGTTAAGAAATCGCCAGGCAAGATGGTCACTGGGACTGAAATTGTCAGAGCGCGATTTCCCTGCCTCAGTTTCCAGCTTTGCTTGTCTTGGTGTTCGATGTAAAACTGGGCCCTGTCGAAACCAGTTCGGTTCTACTTTGAAAGAGATCACTTCCCACTATGTGTTGAATTGTCAATCAGTTCACGCACCCTACCCAGACTTTGTCCATCTCCACGACCCCCAGACACAGCAAAGAAGGACGTGAAAGAGTGAGGAGTAAGAGAAGGTCTCAATAACTGGCTCCAGATCGAAAAGCCAGTACTTACTAGACCCTCTCCCTGGCTTGGCTTTATCCCCTCTGTTAGAGAAATCTTTTTTTTTTTTTTTTAATATATTTTGCTGATGTTTTACAGAGAGGAAGGGAGAGGGTTAGAGAGTCAGAAACATCGATGAGAGAAAACCATCTATCAGCCGCCTCTTGCACACCCCCCACTGGGGATGTGCCCGCAACCAAGGTACATGCCCTTGACCGGAAATCGAACTTGGGACCCTTCGGTCTGCAGGCTGATGCTCTATCCACTGAGCCACACCGGTCAGTGCCGGTTAGAGAAATCTTGACTCGAACCCGGAAAACGGAAGCACAGCGGACACAGCCCTTCAAGAGAAGACCTCGGAAGTGGGGTACACCTGTTTCATTCCTATTGGCATGTCTGCCCTTCGTTCCTTTCCTTTCCCAGATTTTGTGATTGTGGATCATTCTACACCGGGACAGAAAACACGTGGAAATGAAGGTTAAAAGTTAGCTGTTGTATTTGCTTGTTTTGTTTCCAAAGAAACCATGGCCTTAGAATTTTCTTTCTGATACAGACATTTTGAAATGGAAAATGTGAAACTTTTAGCACACAAAAAAATCTTCTGTGGGTAGAACTTTTTTGTTTTCAATAAGAAACTCAATAGGCAGGGGGTTGCGTTTTTGATAAGTTGACTATGAACGCTTTTTTTATTTTTATTATTAAAAAATGTAGTAATTTAACCCACAGGGAAAAAACACGAAGATTGTATTTTGTACTCTTGTCTGAACCCTATGGGTTCCTTTTGTTAATAAAATGATCGCCATGATGCCGGAAGTTGCTGGTTTTGTTCTGTGTGCGTGTGACTGTGCCTCACTCACTGCAGGAAGGATTCCTGTTTCTTTTTTATTTTATATTTTGTTGCTGTTCATCCTCACCCGAGGATATTTTTCCATTGATGTTTAGGGAGAGTGGGGGAGAGAGGGAGAGACTGAGAGAAACATCGATGTGTGAGAAACACATTCATTGGTTGCCTCCTACATGAGCCCTTACCAGAGCCCAGGCTGGGAAGGAGGCTGCAACCGAGCCATGTGCCCTTGACTGGTATCGAACCTGGGACCCTTTGGTCTAGAGGCTGACGCTCTATCCACAGAGCCATAACCACCTAAGGCATCTGAGCCCGTTTTTACAATGGCTTGGTTTCTCCAATATCAGTGTAGGAGAAGCAGTCAAGGTGTAAGCTATATGGGTGGATAACAGCATTATCTGCTTTTATCTCCAAATGTAGTGGCCACTTTACAAAACCCTGGATTGATTACTAGGTCTGGTGGGCAGCAGGTGGACCCACTCACACTAGGGACATGGACCTAAATAGACCTCCCCTTTCCACTAAATACTCACATAGACAATTGCCATATGTGTTGTTTGGGTAGGGATGTGTTTTGTTTTTATAATAAACTTTTATTGATTTCAGAGAGGAAGGGAGAGGGAGAGAGAGATAGAAACATCAATGATGAGAGAGAATCAATGCTCAGCTGCCTCCTGCACACCCCCTACTGGGTATCAAGCCTGCAACCTGGGCCTGGGCCTTGGCCTGGAATCAAACCGTGACCTCCTGGTTCATAGGTGGATGCTCAACCACTGAGCCATACCGGCTGTGCAAGTCATATGTTTTATACAAGGAATCAGAAACCTGCCCAGACCCTCAGTCCTGGCAAATTAGCTTTAGCCAAGTGGCAAAAACCAACCCAGGCATTTACTACTCAAGCGTTTATACTACGTGAGATGGTGTTCAATGAATCAATAATAAATACAGGTCGCATCCACATTTGCAGTCCACACAAAACATTCGTCCCAAAAGTATTCTAGCATCGAGGCCACATGCATTAGGGATTCTGTAGTTCCTATCGGAAAGTCGTGGGCTGTGAGATTTAGAACGAGGCAGGGCGGTACAAAGAATCGAGGACAGAGCCCTCATGTTACAAACGAGGACACAGAGCCCGCAGGTGTAACCCGGAGGTTTGACCTACATTCTCTGCAGGATCCTTGCTCCCTTTAAAATGTCCTGATTCCCCGGCCTCCACAGAAGTAATGGAAACAATAGCTGCTCGAAACCACAGACTTGGATGCTTATGCACACGGCGGGTCAAGTGTTTCAAGTTTGTATCTAAATGTTTCATTAGTGCGTTTAATGAGTAGCTGGAACCCTTTCTTCAGCAGAGGGGTCGGTTTCTAACTGCTAATTTGAAATAATTACAGATTCCCAAGAAGGTGCCGTAACAGTGGAGCGACCCTATGTTTCCATCACCCAGTCCCACCCACAGGGAACCCCTACGTAACTGTAATACATCCCCAAAACCAGGAAATGGTGTTGACACAATATACACCGAGTGGCCAGATTATTAGGGGGGTAGGGAGGAGAGGACATGGGCCGTTGGCCAGCCTCCTTGCTGATCGAACTCCCGGTCAAGGGGACAATTTGCATATTAGCCTTTTATTCTATAGGATAGAAAATGAGTGTCCTGATAATTATGCATTCAGAGATCATCATAATCTGGCCCTTAAGTGAATATGATCAACCAGAGCTCAGGCCTACACCCATCAAGGAGCTCCAGCTGGGGTCAAGCCGGGGTCACCCACACCATGATGGGCGGAGTCACAGAAAAGCAGGCAATGTCAGAATGTGACGGCAGGAGGGACCCCCCAACACCCATCGGCCCCTCTGAATGAGAGATTGGGCAGATGAGAATGCCCGGTTAGTGCTAAATTTACATGGTTTCTGAAACGCGGGGGGGGGGGGGATGAGAGGCAGAGGACTAACATATCTTTAGCAAGAGGAGGAGCTTCAGAGCACATGGCTCACTGTCCAATGAGGTCAAGTTCAAGGCCGCCCAGGCCAAAGCACACAGTCACGTGCCCGGCGGCAGGTCTGTTTCTATTGTTGTTGTCAATCCTCCCCCGAGGATATTTTTCCATTGATTTTTAGAGAGAGTGGAAGAGAGGGGGAATGGCAGAGAGAAACACATTGATCGGTTGCCTCCTGCATGAGTCCGATCAGGACCTGGTCCAGGGAGAAGCCTGCACCTGAGGTCCACGCCCTTGACCTGAATCAAAACCGGAACCCTTTGATCCGCAGGCCGACGCTCTATCCTCTGAGCCACACTGGTTAGGGCTCTGGGTGTCTTACAGGAAGGACTTGGGCACCAGATGCCCATGTACCCAGGCCCCAGCTTGCACTTCATCTTGGTCCTCGCTGCCTATTCCAAGAGCCACATTAGGATTGGGGCACTTATAACATGTAACTGTGTTTCTCTCTCCTTTTCCCCTATTTGCTTGGGGTTCAGGGGTTCAGGGGTTCAGTTTCTCCTGTGACTTGCATCTGCAAGAGGGCTCCCCCTGTGTGCTGGCACAGACAGACCCCGGAGCCCCAGGAATTTTTATATTTATTACAGAGAGAGGCAAGCACCCACCCCGCCTGTTCCCATAAACACAGACGGGCAATTAATGTGTTTGGTTCAAAAGCTGTAAACATCGGTACACCCATTTGCACGTTTAAATGGCTCCGCATAACAGTCAGGCAGGTGGTTAACTATATGTATATTAAATTCATAGAGAAGCTGGTAATTTTCCGTTATAATTGCCAGTTCACAGTTTACACGGTAAGAATTTTTTGAATAGGCCCATTAGCAGAGTTAGTTAGCTGGGTTTTTTGTTTTTGTTTTTGTTTTTTAATATATCATGTTTTATTCGCTTGCGCTCCTTCAAAAGGAGGGATGTTCAGTGTTCCCCCATGAATCAATAAATGTTTGCGTTGGTCTTTATTCTGCCCCAAATGCCACGTTTGACAATGGATGAAATATCGTCGGGT